CAAGACAATAGAGGTACACGTGGTGGAAATCCTTTGATAAAGACTCAAAAGTGGTTGTGAGCATTAAATGAGCATTAAATGATGATGAGACTTATCACAACCAGAAATCCTGCAATGTGAGATTCTACACCATGGCTTAGTTCTGGATCAGAAGTTCTGCTTCAGCGTATCATCCAACCTCTGATCTTTGTATCTTCTGACTCCAGCATGTTCTGAAAGAGATCCCAGGCTTTCCAGGAAGTTTGTAACACGCTTTGTAAGCCTTATTTGAACTGCTCTTGCAAGCTATGACTGAACCTTTGTGAAAACTTGCCCAGAAGTTTTGAGTTTTGTCATGCTTCTTAAACACTTAGAAAAATTCTAAGTATTTAAAACTTTGACTTTTCCCAAAGTAAATTGACTTTTGACTTTTTTGACGAAACAAACTTCATATTTCAACAAGTCTTGATGGAATATGATTCTTGAAACTTGGTTTTTGTCCAAAACTCAAAGTTTGACCTTTCAGTGTGCAAATGACCATTTTGCCCTTGTGAGTGATTTTCTTGGAAAATTTGTAGTTCAAGGCTTGGAATTGGATGGAAGCAAACTTGAGGATCCAGGGTGATTCTTTGAGAAATGAGAGGGCAAATTTTTGGGTACAACACTCATACTTACTTAAGAGACTTAAATGGAGAAGACTTGTACTTTGACAGTGGATGCTCCAGACACATGACATGGGTTCAGAAGTTATTGGTGAATATTAGGCTACATCCCATAGGATCTGTAAGATTTGGTGATGGGTTTAAAGATGAGATCAAAGGAGTTGGTAAGTTGATGTGTGATTGTTCTCCTAGTTTAGAAGATGTCCTTTATGTCAAAGGATTAACTGTTAATCTAATTAGAATTAGTCAATTAGATTATGTCAATGATCCTTATAATACTATATGATCAATTGTTCTACTAGGTAAACAAGTTTTTTATGTCACTGATTCTTATAACAATATATGATCAATTGTTCTACCAGGTAAACATATTCCTAATCGTGATGAAAATCAATATTTAAATTTTGAGACCCTTTCTTTTGCATCACATGTATGTCTCTCATTTGAAGAAAATGATTTAGATGATGTGCATGTTATTCATCATGATCATCAAATGGAGGAAATGAGAAAACTAATAAGTAAGTATTTTATATCACTTAGTAATAGATATTTATTCATTTTAATTTTGTATTTTTTTTTACTAATAAATATTTTTCCAACATGTAGAGTTGTTGAAGCATACCATATGTTACACGATTTTAGAAGTAAAAGTCAGAAAATTTAAAACCCCTAAAGTAAGTGTTATTCTTTTTAACATTTATATATGAATATAAATTATTTATGTTAATTGTAGTTATTGATGCGTGTCGTAGATAATGAAATTTGAATGTTGTTGTTGTTGTTGTTGAGATTGAAGTTTGAATGTTGTTGTTATGGTTGAGATCAATGGTTTAAAGATTTAATGTTGTTGTTGATTATCCTAATTGGTTTCAAATGTTATTTAAATTATATAATCTTAACGACCAGATACAAATCACATAAGAAAACTTTTAAACCACCGTTCAAGAATTTACATTTTGCTTTTTGCTTTTGTTAATTAATCATTTGTTTTAGTTTTGTTGTAAAATGATAACATGTGTGTTCTTTTGGTTTTGCAATTGGTGTAATCAATTAATATTTTTTGTACAATATTTTTGTTTCAGAAATGGACAAAAAGGTATCATGTTTCTCTTTCAAAAATGAGCAAAAAAAGGTTATGTAACACAAGTTAAAACAAAAATATAGAAAAATAAATAACAACGTTTTCGCCTCGGTTATTATATTAAACTACGGTAATAAGACTGACTCATTACCTCGACTTTTCTTATAATCGAGAGAATATGTGGGGCGCGCCATTCAGTTCTAAAAATAATAAAATATAGTTGTTAGGGATCGAATGCATGACCATCAAGTTTTTCCCCTCGATAGAAACTTGACAGAAGGAAAAAAATGGAACACATTTCATGACTCATTTTGTTACCTCGCATATGAAACCGAGGTAAAAGATGTTTTCGTGGTAGTGTTGATTGGCTACCTATTCCTTATTCAATTCAGTGTCACTTGTTGTTGCATCATATAGTTTATTGATGTCTTTCAACGTTTTTCTTATTTCTAAATCAACCTGACCAAATATATTATTCCACCATCTGAGTTTTTCTTTTAGCAACTTAAATTTTTCCCTTATAATGAATGTCTTCTTCCTGACAACTTTGAACGATTTCCACACTTTTGCTACAAATGGAATGAAGATATTATATTTGAATCAACATTGTTCAATCATAATGGCTTTGATCCCCAATTTCGATCAGAGCATTTGATTTAAATTGGGCAGTGACGTGGTATATCTTTATATCCCACTTACTGTCCAACGACCTTCCATAACTCAATAAGTGTTGGAACATACACAAAATTTAGTTGGTGAATCAATGGAGAAATTTGGTTAATTGGAAAAGATAAAATGAGAAAATAAGAGAGAGAGAGAGAGAGAGAGAGAGAGAGAGAGAGAGAGAGAGAGAGGTTTAAGGAAAAATATATCAAATGACATTATAAAGCACATTACACTTGATGGTGCTTATATACAAGGCATTACAAACATATTGGGAAATAAAATAACTCAAAAATAAGTCAAAAAGCCCAAACACAGACCCGTAATTGATTATGCCTACTGATGACAGAAAACAGGAACAAAATTTGCCTTCGTAATCGATTACGCATATTGGCATAATCGATTACGCCCATAAACCATCAACTCCCTGCCTTCTAGAAGTGCTTTTTTTAAGCTATTTTCACCAGAATGCTCCCAGAAGCTTATATCATGCATTTGAATTACTTTGTACTTCCAATACACTACCTTAATTCAAATGCTCCAAGTTCTTCATGCCCAAGTTCATCACCAACTTCTTGAAAACAATATTTGTGACTCCTTTCGTCAACAAGTCCATAACTTGTTCTTCGCTTCGATAGTATCCAAACTTCAACTTGCCTTCACACACTAGATCCCTCAAGTAATGAAACATCATTTCTATATGCTTGCTCGTCCCATGTGTAATGAGATTTTTAGCAAGGTTAATGGCTGAAACATTATCAACCAAGAGTGTGACAACTTTTCCAACCTTGCTGCTCAGTTCTTCAAGCAGATTCATGAGCCATACAGCTTGACACGCACACAACGATGCAGCGATATACTTGGCCTCAAAAGAAGATAGTGCCACCACAAGTTCCTTTTTATAACACCAAGAGATTGATGCTCCTCTGAACATAAATATATAACCAGTCGAAGACTTTCAACCATCCTTATCTTTGCACCAATTAGAATCCATGTAACCGAGCAAATCATATTTTCTGCTCGTATCAGCTGCGGGAAAGAGAATTCCGCAGCCAAGAGTTCATTTGACGTATCTTAGGATCCAATCAATCAAGTATTGGCTGCGGAACTCTTGGCGGCAGAATTCTCTTTTCCACCGCTGATACGGGCAAAAAATGTGATTTTTCGGTTACACAGATTCCAATTGGTGCAGAGATAAGAATGATCAAAAGTCTACGGTTGGTTATACTGTATGTTCGGAGGAGCACCAATCTCTTGATGTTCTAATAAAGAACATTTTGTGGCACTCTCTTCTTGTGAGACCAAATATATCACTGCATCGTTATATGTGTGCCAAACTGTATAATTTATAAATCTGCTAAAAGAACTGAACAACAAAGTTGGAAAAGCGGTCACATTTTTAGTTGATAATGTTTATGTTCTCATATAAGTATTTTGTCTAATTTGCTCATTTAATTACCATCAAAGTAGGTTAATTTATTTCCTACCGTTGAAACAATGATTAGCCCCATGTTGTCAATAAACTATCTGAATTCGTTCATCTCTTCCCTCATACTATTATTGTGACCCCCTTCCTCTTCCTTTCATGTCTAACTACAATTGTGTTGAAATCACCACCTACAATCCATGTTTCTTTTTCCAATAACACTCGATTCTTTCCACATCCTACGTCTTTCTTGAAAGTTACAAACTGCATACAAATAAATGATAATCAGATGTACTTCTTTGAATTTCACCTCCACCTCACATAAACGAAAAAGCATAATAATGCATATAGGGTTCCTGACTTCCAAGCTATAGTTAACCCCCAAACAACGTTCAAAGCTATAACTAACCCCCAAAAAAACAAGCTAAAAGTTTTGCATTTCATTCTATTTCGTCATTATTGCCTCAAATCGCTGAATCAACCTATTATCAAGTTATTGGCATTTTGTTTCTTAAAAAGATTCAAACATCAAAATCACATGTCTTTATAAATTGAGATATTAACCTTCTCTTTGAGCTGTCACCCCACCCTATTATGTGTATGTTTTATTTTTTTCTCCCTCTTCGGTTTTCCTTCTAGGCCATGGTCCTCCTGTGCTCAAAATTCCTCAATTTGACCATCATCAGCGCCGGTAAATATTTGACAGGAAAACAACAACAAAAATATTATTACTACCTCCTCGAGGGTAATGTTAGGTACACCAACTAACAATCATTCATCTATGGAATTAAGTCATCATTACTTTCTTGATTTTAATTTCTAAATAATTCATCATAAAATTTGAAAAAACACAAAAACATTTGATTGCTCGAAGTGACTAACAAACCCCAATTTCCAGTTAACAAATACCAAAACAAAACAAGATTTTGTTTCTCAAAATAGTTCATCAGTACATAAACTAATTAAACTTGGTTACTCATCATAATCTCATATGTATAAATTATATTTGCAATATACATTTTATATGTATAATAACATTAACAGATAACATATAACTGATTCTTTTTACACATCTTAAATATTAAACCTCTTTTGAGGCACATACTGCAAAAATTTAACCAAAGAATACAACTTTTTAACATAAAAAAAAAAAACAAGAACAGTTGAATCAACACTTGAGAATTTCCATCTAGAGTCCAAATCCAGACAACCTACCCAAAATCCCTTGTCTATAAGGCAAGAAAGTTCTTTTCTTCATATCTTGTGACTCAGCTTTCTTCATAGCATAATGCATTTCATGAGCTGAAACTTGTCCTTTTTTTCTTGAAAATGATTCACTAGATCTAAAACTTGAACCTTTAACTTGTTCAATATTATTATTACTATTCTTTTTATACCCAACAAAATGTTTCTTCAATGGATCCTTGTTTGATCCTCTCCCTTCCGAAGCACTTCGAAACAACAATAGATCACTCAGTTTCCACCTCCTCGAACCCTTGGAACTCGATGATTTTGACTCCTCTTTGATCATACGAGGTTGTTGTTTTTGTTGGAAATTCTGCTCTTCTAACTCTAATGCATAGTTTGAATTTCTATAAGGAGAGTGTGATCTTGTTACTCTTCTACCAGAATTATTCAACGATGAATCTGTTCCTTTTGTTCTCTCTCTATCTCTTCCTCTTCTTTCATCACCAAAACCAACAACTCCTACGTTGTTTTGTTGCTTCCTAGGTTCAACAACAACCTTAGTTTCTTCAAAAGGTTTAATTTTGCCACCATGAAAAAGTTCTTCAGCTGAACGAGTCGACGAGTTCTTCGACTCGTCCTGATTAACAAAGAAAGCAAAACCACCACCTTCATCATGATCATCATCATCAACAACAACGTTGTTGTTAACATTGGTTGATGATGTTTGATCAATTATGGACAAATAATCAATTTCACTATATAATTCAGAAAGCCTAGAAGGACTTGAAGGGGCACTTAAGTAAAATTCACCAAAACGTTTTGGTGATGAAGGAGGACTTAGATATGGTGAACTCATTGTTCCATTACTAAAATTGAATGTCTCCATGTTTGAACTTTGTATCATCACTTCCATGATAACGCTAAGGTTGTTTTTTTTTTCCTTCTTTTGGTTGATACAATAGTACAAGGTTGTTGTGTTTTTGAGTTAATAGCAAAATGATGATGTGAAAAGTTACATGAATTGTATTTATATGAAAATATAGGGAAGGTGAGAAGAAGGATCATTTTCATGTGAAAAGGATTAATATAAGAGGTTGTTTTTTTGACTCTTAAATTGTTATTATTATTATTAATTAATAATTTAAGCCGCCTTATAATACCGTTTACTATATTTTTAATATGAAAAATGAAAATTCTAAGTTTGTATAGCATGTGTGATGGGTGAATTTTTTTTTTATAGTAATAGTTTGGTAAGCAAGTATGTAAGATACATAGTTAACTTGTACTTGTAGATAAACTTTGAGCTAGTTGGTTGAATTTGATGGATGGGTTATATTTATTTATATGCACGTTTTATAGTAGGTAAGTTTGTGAATAATTGTGATTATTCTACCAATACATTCATATTCTCTTTTTAATGTTTTGTTTTTTATATACATCATTGGATGAAATTTTAAGTTGACTATTGCAAAAGGTGAATAATTTCTATGCGTTTATCCCTCTTTTATATTTTATATGTCTATAAAAAATGTCATGTTAATTGATTTGTTGATTTATGTGCACTTTTCAAAAAATGAATAGATTTGTTAGTTTTAAAAGTAAAGTAAATATTATACTAATATATCTTATTAGTTATCGTGTTAGTAATAGTTGAATGCGTAAAAATTAATAAATAAGAGCATAATACTAAAATAAAAATTGTATTACTATTATAAATGAGACAATTATTTAAGGTAGAAAAAAAGCCAATAAGATACTAGTAAGTATTATTTTACTTAATTTATAACTTTTTTTCTTATAAAAAATACTAAAAATAGAGTGTCTTCTATTTTGGATCTTTCAAAGAAATTTGCTTTGATCTCGTGTCTTTGACAATTAACCAAACAAAATAGTTAAATGTGTAGTTTTTAGTGTAAATTTTTTTATTTTTTTTATTCCTTCTTCAATTTCTTATCGCTTTCTTGTGTTCATATAATTTTTCAGTATAATAGTCAAATTAGTAGATAAATCCCTAAATTTATAAATTACAGTGACTTTAGATTATTAAAAATTAAGATATCTAAGAACTTTGTTAATTGAATTCTCTTTTTGATAAAGTTTTTAATGATTAACAACATGAATAAATCATTTTTCATATCTTAAATATTTTTTTTCGGACTTTATTCTAAATAGTTCATATTCATAGGTTATAGCATTTGTCCTATCCTTTTTTATATTGGTTGGACTTTCATGAGTAACTTTAAGAGTGTTTCACATTTCTTTTATAATTTTACAGTGTGAAACATCGAAAAATTCATCCATACTAAAAGCAATAATAACGATAGTTTTAATTTTTATTATATACATCACTTTTTCTTTAACCTATTTGGCCCAATGATTCTTTGATTCGGCCACCACTACACATTAATTTAATGGGGAAAATCAAACAAACTATTTTTACAACGTCTCAAAAATCACAATTCATCCATAAAAAAAATTCATTTTTCTCTTTTCAATAAGCATACACTTTACCATTGAAAGATGAAAGTCTGATCAATAAATTGTTTGAAATCATCTTACTTTCTTAGATAATTAGTTATTAAACAATAGTTAGACTCGGATGCCTCTGTCAACCACATGACTTCAAATACAAGAGAGAAGTGGGTGGATAGTGATAGAATTTTTTTTAAAAATTTTAACGAAATTTTTTATTTTACGGGATTGATTTTAAAAAAAAGAGATGAATTAGAGATTAAAAGCAGAAGATTAAATGACAAAAATATAAATATATAAGAGAAAGGAAATAACCCATCATGAATTATATTAATTTACCATGTGGCCTGCTCTAGTTTCCAAAGATTTTTCCTTGAGAGTTTTATTAACAACATATATTTTATCACAACGATCAATCCAAGACTTTCTTACACCAAAATTTTTATCTTAGATTCTACTTTGTAACTTTTATAATGATATCAGAGTTTATAAGAGAATAACACACTCTAAAATTTCAATTACAACAAAAACACAATAATACACAATTACAAAAGAACAACTCTTATTAAGTGTTTTGTTTTCTCAACACTAAAATAATTCTATGTAATTATGAAATTTCTAAGAAGAGAGTAAAAGTGAGAGAAAGAATAATATTTAGATTTCTTGTATGATTTGAAATAAACATATGTCTTCTCTATATATTAAAAAATTTGGCCATAAAAGGAAATTGAAATTCTGGCAATAGATACTTAATGTCACAGTGAATGTTATGACACCGTATCTGACAAATTGTACACACACCAAACAGTAATTTAAAAGACAGTAAAGAACACAATTAATTGTTAACCCAGTTCAGTGTATAACAACACCTACTCTGGGGACTACCAAGCCAGGGAGGAAATTCACTATAAGAGGTATTAATTTAGGAATAAACCAACCAGTTTATCTTCTTCACTTAAGACCTACCCAATGCAACTTCAATCTAAGTCCTACTTAAACTTGAGTTCCTACTCACTCCCTCTCAATCACAGCAGTGATAATAATCTATTGATTAATGAGATTATGAAGACATTCTTCAATACACACGCTTGATTTTGCTTCAAAGCTTTAATCAAGAGACACAACACTCGTGCTTCAAAGCTTTGAGTGATAAACAACCCTTACAACCAAATCCTACTCCAAGTAACTTATCAAAACGATAATTGCTTGGCTCACAGTAGTTACAACTATACAATGCCTTATTGATCTTCTGTCAAAAGCGCTGCTGACCATTAGGCTTCGTGAGAAATATATAAGCAGACTTATTCTTTATTTAGGGCTTCCATAAAAATAGCTACGGTTAACCACAGTTAACCTAAAGACTTGGTCTTGGGCTTTCATCATAACAGATTAGGGTTAAGCAAGATTAACCTAATGTCCACGTGAGCATCTGATCTGGACAATAAACTTCAACTCAGAGTAGCACACCAGATTCTTGAAAATTCTCAGGAATAATAAATCTGCACAACAACTTGATCAGTACAGGATGTCTTAAAATTGGTTATGACATCATGTATCTTGCTCACTGATTTTGGTAGAATTCAGTACATATGATCATAGCTTAATGATCATGATATTCACTCATACTGAGTACTTCCTGTAGAACATTCCTTCTGCAGAATGTACCTTTATCCCAGAATGTTATGACATCAGTCATGACATTCGCAAATCTGGTTTTACCAAAAAATAATGCCAACAAACAAACACTTACAAACTCCCTCTTTGGCAAATTTTTGGCTAAAACCCCTAAACAATCAGAGATTAGAATGCAGCAGAATTTTTTAATAACAGCTACCAATATCTAATTCTACCAAAATTACCACAATTTCTTCTCCCTCTTTTTAGCCATAAAGAGGCCAAAGGTACTAGTACTTTAAGTTATACAGTCATCCAAAAGGAAATTCAAAATACACAGAAACAAAGAGAAGGTATCAAAAAGTTCCAGCATCAATCTTTTCAACTCAGCAAACACAGACCTTCAGGTACTGTCACCCCCCGAGGAAGCACCATTTTCAGCAGCATTTTCTGGTGAGCTTCTTGCAGAACCATCATGCTGTTCGTCATCAGCATCCTCTTCCCTCATTTGTTCTTCATTCTCCTCCTGTTCCAGACTAGCAATCAGCTCTTCAAGAGTCCTTTTTCTTGCATCAAGCTCTCTGCAGGTTTCTTTTAGAACAGCTATAAGATCAGCTTTCTTGGAATGAGCTTTGACATTTGATGTCTCAGCAGATGTCATAACAATGTCAGGGACATGAGTTCCCTGAAACAGCTTATAGTGAAAACCAAGTGCAGGAGCTCTTTTGCACACAGAGTCCTTTTCAACCAGAATATCAGGATACTGATCAATGATTATACAACACAAGAGAGAGGGAAGAGCAATAGGGCCTTTAATAGCACAACTCTCAGCATGTTTCATTGTTTGATCAAAGATGTAGTTGCCATAATCAAAGTTTGTTCTGGCTCCAACAGCATAAATAAATCTTCCCAAACCAGTGGAGATGGTGGATTTGTGGTTGGTGGGAACCCAGTTAGCTGCACCAATTTTGTGCAGTATCGCAAACTTCATACTCAGCTTGCTTGCAGTTAGCTTCCCTTTCAAGGGCCAGTGCTTGACTTTCTTGGCAGTGATGGTTTGACAAACCTGGTTGTCAGTAACTTCAAGCTCAGGTTGAGCATCATCAGGCCTTCCTAGGTATTTGTTTATCACAGTAGGGGAGAAATTTACCTTCCTTCCTCTCACATAAACACTCTTAAAATCAACTGACTTTCCATCAGCACAACCACCAGACAAATTTACTATGAATTCTTTGACAAGAATCTCATAGAAGTTGGAAAACTTGACCACTGTTTTCATCAGGCCAGCAGCCTTGATGAGATCCATGACTTCCTTACACTCAATAGCACTTCTGTTCAGCTCCCTCTCTAAGGCAATCCTTTTCAGAAACACATACTTCCACCTGCTTGCATTTTCTGGATGGTGAAAGGAGATGTTGTCAATGGAAACTTCAGGAACCTTAGGCAGTTTGTTAGAAGAGGGTTTCTTCCTGAGAGGAATGTCTGGAACATTGCTCTCAATATAAAAAACAAAGTCTGATTCCTCATCAGATTCAGAGGGTTCAGGAGCCTTTCTTTTCTTGACTATAGGTTGTCTCAAGGGTTTTGAGAGACTACCAACAGATACCCTAGCTTTTACCTTACCTTTCCCTTTCGAAGTTCCAGCTTTTTGGTCCTTCTCAGCTTCTTCTCTAGCCTTGTTCTCAGGCCTAGCTTTCTCATGAACAACTTCAGTAGCCTTCTCTTTGGAGGGGCTTTGGGCAGCACTCTGCTTTTCTTTTCTACTCATCGTCCTTATAGCTATGCTAGGATTGATATTAGCAATTAAATCATTGTCAGAAAATTCTT